TAGAAATGGAAGATGAAGATTTGTTCGAGAAATTGGGGGTGTCATCTCCTAAAAAATAATATATACTCACTCCTTTGCATCCTATATTTAAATTTAAATAATAAAAAACATTATAAACTTAAAACATAACCTAATTATATTAACATATTAAAAATCACAATCTTAAAAAAGACAATAACAAATTTATAACAATAAATTAAGATTTTTATAATTTACAAATAAAAAAAGAAATATTCTATTTAGATAGTTAGATTCAATTATGTTAGAAAAAAAATCCGGCAAAATATTAATGGAAGATTTGAAGATTTGTTCTTGAAATTGGGGGTGTCATCTTCCAAAAAATAATGAATATTCATTCCTACAGCAAGTTTCGAACTCAGGACCGCCCACCCCAGTGCAAAACACGGAGCATACCACTCCTTCAGCGGGCACAAGTTGAAACTTGTAGCGTTTGTTGAAATATATACTAAATCTAAGTATACACTAAGAAAATTGTATATATATACTAAAAAATTTTATAATTTCCGTGGGGTCGCTTGACCCCATATGACCCAATGTGGGTCCGCCCCTGCATATGAAGCTGAGGCCAAAAGGTCTAGCAAAAACAGGCCAGCAGGTACATTAGAGGTCAAGGCAACCACCTCTATAAATAGGGATGAAATGAAAAAGATGCTACTGGAAAAGTTACTTCCAACAATAAAAGAAAAATGGCCTGGTCCAACAAGAGATGTAATCATACAGCAAGATAATGCTAAACCACATGTGGATGTGAATGACCCGGAGTTTGTACAAGCTGCACAAGAGGGTGACTGGAACATTAAGCTTCAATTCCAGCCTCCTAATAGCCCAGACCTTAATGTTTTGGATTTGGGATATTTTAGATCAATTGATGCAATTCAAGACCAGGAAGCACCTAGGAAACTAGAAGACCTCATCACTGCTGTTACCACATCCTTCGCAGCCCTCACCCCTGAGAAGTTAAACAATGTTTTTTTGACATGTCAAAGTGTAATGGGGGAGGTCCTTAAACACAAAGGGGGCAACAACTTCAAAATCCCACACATGGGGAAAAGTAGTTTGGCCAGACTTGGAAGGCTACCAGATAATGTTGGGGCAAGTCAAGAGGTCTATCAAGAAGCAAAAACATTCCTTGAAGAACACATGTAGACTTGCAAGTCATTGAAGTCTTACTTTTTTGTATGTACAAACATCATGGGTAAAAGTACAATACTGTAATGTACTCCCATGTAATGACTTTTTTGCACATATTTTTGTATGTCATGTAATCAGTGTAGTATGAAAATCTGGTTTACAGATTGGTCATAGAACATGATGTATATGTACTACCAACTGATGTTGACTAACTTTTGGGACAAAGAAGTGTAGTATGTGGTGTATTATCTAAGAAAAAGTGTAGCATCTGTTTTCTTATGCTAAGAAGAAGTATAGCATCTGTTTTTCTTATGCTAAGAACCAGTGTGGCACCTGTTTTCTTATGCTAAGAAGAAGTGTGGCATCTGTTTTCTTATGTTGAGAAGAAGTGTGGAATCTGTTTTATAAAGAAAAAGCCTTATAAAATCTGTTTTTTTACAGATATTTTTGGAAAACTTTATCAGAGGCATCACAAACAAACACATGAACACAGGTAGACCAATCCTATGCAAAATTGATTTTTTGTAAGTCTCCAACACAGTACGTGGGTGACATTACAACACTAGCAACTCACATATGAACACAACTTATTCGTGTAAAGCAGGGATTTGCATCATTAGTTTGCCAAAATATACTCCCACGCAGATATAAGTAAAAGAGAGTATAGGAAGTGTACTCTGTTTGAATCGATGTAGTTTTGCAGGGTGTCCTCTAGGTTCTGCAAAGAGGAATTCCTCTTCACACATCTCCATTATCTCCGCAGAGGTCACCGATTCCCCATCTTCCTCTTCATCCTCTTCTTCTCCGTAACTCCGTTCAGGGTCAGAATAATAACCACCCCCTAGATATTTTTTGCGGAAGCTCCAAGTTGGATCTGTTTCGGATGAATCCGTATCTCCTCCATAAAATCCCCATCGATTTAACTCAGCCCTCTTAATCTCAGCCTTCGATGGAGGAGGGGATCCATATCTAGGAAGTGCATCATCATCACTATCACTCAAAAGTTGAAAACTGGGCATCGAAGGATCGCGAGATAACATCGGATCAGGGCAAAGAGAAGAAGATCTGAAGTTCAGGACCTTTAGATATATTTTTCGAGAGAGAAGATTAGATTTAGATATAGAGAAGAGGAAGAGAGGAACTTAGATCTGGAGAGGAGGAAGAGTAAAACGTAGATCTAGAGAGAGACGAAGAAGGTGTGGGAATCGGTGAAGTGATTCCTGGTGGCTGGTCAGGTATTGAATGGGTAGGGTTTGGGTGGAGGGGCAAATAAGTCTTTTTTAATGAAATGAGAAGAGTTTTAAGGGACAGATAAAAAAAGAAAGAGGAAGTGTTTTTACGGGACAGAGGGAGTATTATATATATATACCCATGTGTATTCTTACATATTGTCATAGAATATTAATATATAGAATATATAAATATCATTTCACTCCATTTCAATATTCTACACTTTCATATATTCTATGTGTGTGAACCTATTCTAGGTATCTATAACATTGGATATAGTACTGATTAGATACTACAAGTGATAAGAGGTATCTAGCAACACATTATCACTAACTAATATTACACCCGTGCGTTGCAAGGGTCATTTTTATGTTACTAAATTAATATATATCATTTTTCAATGCTAAAAAATGAGATGTAATAGGATGCTGAGATTATATTATTGTATGGTACAAAACATTTTTGTTTTACAAATTTTCGGAAGGCTTCTAAATTAATATCATTTTTTAATGGTATAACTTATATTTTTCCTTTACAAATTCCATAAGACTAATAAATTAAGATCATTTTTCAATGGTGAAAACATTCTTGCTTTACAAATTTCGAAAGACTTCTAAATTTCAGTAGACTTCTAAAAATGATATGTAATAGAACGTAGAGATTATATTATTGTAATCCCTCCATCCCATAAAGTCATTTCCGTTTCAAAAAAATTGCGTCCCTTAAACTCATTCTCATTTCTATTAAAAAACCACTTTTACCCCTTACCTTTTCATACCCTACCTATCACATCATACTTTTTTCCTAATAATATACACATGACATCCTACTTTTACCCATCACATCAAGGGTATTTTTGGAAAGTCAACTCAAAATTATCCTTCCTTATTTTACCACTTTAGTCAAACCGTTCCTATCTTTATGGGACGGGAGAGTATGGTACAAAACATTTTTGCTTTACAAACTTCGGAAGACTTCTAACCAAATTTTCTTTATAACTTTCAAAAGACTTCTTTACATTTTTACTTTAAAAGAAGTCTTTCAAAATTTGTAAAGTAAATTGTACGAATAATACAATGGAGACAATGTTCCTACAAATTTTACGAATAGTGTTGTATATGAAGAAATCTTTAAAAATTTGTAAAGGAAATTTGTTTTCTACCATAAAATAGTTTAATCTCTATAATCTATTGCATCTCATTTTTTAGCAGTAAAAATGATTTTAATTTAGTAACATAAAGATCAAAAGGATTATTTTATTACTATTACTTATCAATTTTTTTACATACCAATTTAATTTAAGATCATAACACGAAATCCTAAAACATATAACACGGTACCAATTATTACTTATCAATTAATTCACTAGCTATCAATTGCATGGAATTGAAAAAGAAATTTTTATGTTAATTGTACGAATTTATTTGCACGGTACAATTGTAATGGGAAAAGGAATTTTTTATGCCAATTGTGCGAATTGAATTGTAAATATTAAATTTTATAATGTCACACTCACGACATTGTCATATTATAATATTCACACTACCACCGCCACACTGCCATTTGTCTTTGCTCGGCACCCGAGGGCCTCTGCGGATCGCCGATGATTGACAGATCACATTGACATATTAAATTATCATCAATTTTCCATCACACTGCCAACACGTACTTTAACACTATACTGCCATTACACTCCTATTTTGATCTTAAAAGATATATATAGGATCCTATTTTAGTAATTACATACTTTTTTACTCCTATTCAGGTAGATTTGTTTTAAAGTATATTTTATTACTTCTCAATTTAACTCCAAACAACATGAAATCAATTTAATGGAAAAGGTATTCAATACTTACCATCTATTTAAAGTAATGCATAGTATTATGTTTTTTGTCAACTTTAAACTCCATTTTGAAAGGAAAAATATTCATAGATTGATGCATTAATATGTTTGATTTGCAAATTATTATTCTTGTAGATTTTAAGGTAGTTATAGCTTAATCTTTGCTCAATTTGGGACCCGTCCACTCTTGAATCCAGAAACTGGACGAGCCACGGGTTATTGGATTGTGACTGTTTTTTTTTTAATTTATGTCTGTCTTTTGGAATTTCTTTACAACACGTGTATGTTCTGTATGAAATAGCTAATTCATTTAGTGAGGACTTCTTATTATTGTACAAAGTATTTCTTTGTGTTGACCTATAGTTGGAAGATCAAGTCATTGGAAGTAAGAGGTTTACGAGTTTATAGTTCGGCTTCCCTTATTCAGTGTCTATTGTTTGCAGGAAGACTCTGTTGTCAAACAAGATTCGAACTTTAAAGTATTGCAGGTAGACTAATAGTTTGAACTGCTAAGAGGTAGGCAATGTGCCTGAGTTCACTTATCTTGAATGGCGATATTGTTTGCAATGAGATTATGAGATTATGATACTTAGATGTTGGTTTTGATGATTCTCCAAAAATATTGTGGTAGCATCAGATTAACCTTTTTTTGGCATGGGAATGTGAATACATAATAAAGGGATGTAGATGCTGAATCTAGATAATACTTTGTGAGTCAAGCAAAGACATGGGGAGTCAACAATGGCAGAGCACAATTCTATAGTGTGAGCATTAATATTGATAGCTCTTTTGAATCTTTTGCTTCAATTCTATATTCCAGGCCCTTTGTCTACGTCATGGGGGTATCTACCTTTGTCTATGATTATTAAAAACATGATGGAGCTTGCTTCGAGTCACTACGAAGAATTTTGCACCGATATGTTAGTATGATTTTTCGTACGGTGTCATAATTTTTTATCATGTATTTAATGGAAATGATTTATGCTGCAAGATATTTTAAGTTTAATTTTTAAGTTGTTAAAACGAATATGAATTATTATCCTTGAAGGCTAACATCATTACTCAAAATTTTCCCTACCTTTACCCAAATCTCAAGATGCGTTCGTGTTAATCTAATGTGACAACCTTACTTTATCCATTGTGTTCTAAATATAAACGCAACCAACTACTATAAGACGAAAACAAAAATACAAAGAGACAAATATTAACGTGAAAAAATGCTACATTTGGTGAATAGCTTAAGACATTTGTATTTTGAAAAAATATTTTATACTAATGAAAATATTTTTGTCACTTTTGTGAACTTGAATCATTTTGTGTTTAAGTAGAAAATAAAAAATGAATAATGAATTTTTTTTGAATTTGTAAAATATGACAAAATCCACATTCACACAAACATTTTAACTAGAGTCAAGAATGTTTCTTTTTCTTCTTCGCACTATTTTTGTGCTCTTCAATCTATACGTTTTAAAAATTGAGTGATACTTCTCCTTTTTATGTTGCCTTAATATTTTATCTATTTTTCTAATAATGAAATTAGTGAGTGATCAATAATTACTTCATGTTGTAATTTTATTTATCCCATCGCATACAACATATAAGTGAAAATAATTTTAAGTGAAACAATATGCGTCTAGATAATTATTTTAAGTGAAAACAATTTTCATGGAAAATTATGCTCCATATTTTCTGTTGTTTGATAAAAGGTTACTCCCTCCGTCCCAGAGTATTTGTCCACTTTCATTTTTACACACCATCCAATGCACTTCTTTAATCCATTTTATCTTGTAATTTGTATATTAAAAAATTATAGAATTTATATATTAATAATCTATATGTTAAGACAAATCAAACAAGATCACACATGACTATATTTATGCTTACACATTGAGAGAATTTGATGAGTCAAAGTTCTTAGATGAACAGTCCCCCAGTTTTTATCCACTTTTGACTTTTGGAACTGTTCTTCTAAGCACTTTGACTCATCAAATTCTCTCAATGTGTAAGCCTAAATATAGTCATGTGTGATCTTGTTTGATTTGTCTTAACATATAGATTATTAATATATAATTTTTATAATTTTTTAATATACAAATTACAAGATAAAATGGATTAAAGAAGTGCATTGGATGGTGTGTAAAAATTAAAGTGGACAAATACTCTGGGACGGAAGGAGTATGCAATAGAACTAGATTTTA